CCTGGACAAACAATTAGTGTTATCTGCAAGAAGGAACCCTTTACAGAGAACATGCTTTCATAAGATCTGGCTGGAAGGCTTTTTTTTAATTAGCTATTGATGGAGAGGGCTCAGACCATTGTGGATGATTCCATCTTTGAGATGGAGTTTCTATAACAAAGCAAACCGAGGAAGGTAGAAGTAAGCCAGAAAGCAGCAACACTAACAGGCCTCTGCATTAGCTCCTGGATTCAGGATCTTTTTCTATTTCAGTTCCTGTCTTAACTTCCTTCCATGATGGACAGCAATGTGAAAATAAAGACAAATAAACTATTTTCTGCCGAAATTGCGATTTGATCATTGTGTGTCATGCTAGCAACAGAAAACTGAAGTAAGACAAGATGGCACCAGTGTAGTGGGTATTGCTGTGACAGACCTACTATGTTTTAGGAAGGATTGTGGAATGATTTTGGAACTTTGTGCTAGAAAATCAACTGAGTGTTGGGAGTTCAGTGGGATGTTCTGTGGGAGCTTAGAAGACAGGAATCTTGAAAGCAGTTCTGAGCATGTAGGCCTGGCTTGTGATGCTTCAGAGGGAAGTTTAAAGATCCTATCTGGATCCACACAGGGACTAGTCTAGGCTTTGATTAGTCTTGGGAGAAGCCATGACTTTTATAATACGTTGAGTATGGCATCAGGCACACAGAGAAGGACAAGAATGGAGGGGAACAAAGGCATGAGCATAAGGTATCTCAAAGGGCTTGCCTGTGAAATGGCAGAATTTTCAAAGGTCAATTATAAATTTGTCATCTAATGGCCATTGAGAGCATCTGTCAATCTTATAGTGCTGCCAAGCCATATTGCAATAAAAATAAGGTGGTGGGACTTAACCAGATCTGTAAGTGTGAGTAGGGAAAGAGGTTTAAGGATGGAAGAAATATGACTATAGTTTGTGTCAAGTTGGTATGAAGGCAGCCAGCACAGTGGAGGAGAGAAACAGCTGGAAAGGCCTACTCTAAAATTTCGTGTTGAATATTTTGGGGGAAGAGCCAGCAGAAGGAAGTGATCTGCACTGAGGGGGTGTTCAAATCAACACTTGAGTTCAGTTGAAGTGGATAGGTCCCCTTGGATGAGGTCCAGTTTATTCTCCTTGGCTTCTGCATCAAACGTAAGAGAGGAAAGGATAAATTCATCAAAGCAGACAACTCCATGAGAAAAAGAAAAATTTAGTGAAAATGAACCTGCCAAAGCTATGTTTCTCTGGGGATCAGGGGCAGAGAGAAGCAGAAGAGTAGAAAAGGAAAGAGATTTTATGTGTCAGCGGTTAGAGAAGTTTGAGTTGATTCAGCCTGATTGGATTGCAGGTGGGTTGGATGCTTTTGCTGAGGTGGCTGACATTTGTGGGAAGGTTAGGGTGGCTGCTGGTAAACAGAAATGCATCATGGCTGATCAGGTTCTCTGATAAACAAAGCCCTGCCTTGAGGTTTCTGTTGACTCAACCAAAATTCTTCCTGTTAGGACTAGCACCTTCATTCTTTGGACAGCAGCTTTGGACCTAAGCCCTGTCTGCTGAGTCCTTCACCCCACTGTTGCTACAAAAAACACAGCTCTCATCCTAAAGGGACTAAAAGAAACTTTCTATTGGAGCCATTTAGAGTGAAAAATGATCTGAGAACACTGATTTTGGTTACCAAATTCCATTCTTCAGTATTGAAGTAATTTTACAAACACTTTATAGCTTAACCACACAAAGACAACTTTGAGATGCAGAGGTGGGAACCTCAGAGAGGCAGGTACATCAAGGCAGGGCAGCTTCTCTATGGAGTGAAGTTGCTATCTGCTGGCATCTTAGCTTTTGGATTGAAGCTCTTTGTCTGTTAGTAATAGAAGTCTATTGTCATGGGGTTGACTTCTGACACATAGGGAGGCAAACTTGTCTGTTGCAGAGAGGTAGCACTTAACCTTGAGAAGGTGATTAGTCTCTGGTCCTACAGTGTTCCCATCTCTCTCCAGTACTGGAATTCAGATCAGTCATCCAGGCTCTGCAGACACAGAATCCTTTCAGGGGTTTCTCTTCAGTGCCAGACAAGGCAGCTTCCCTTCAGAAGTCTAATGCCAAAGAGGGTAGAGTGAGCCTCTATTTAGATTATGCCCATTGCTGCCAGACAGGACAGTTACACAGATGAAGGTGGAGTCCTGTTAGCATTGAGACCTCTGTTTATTGATGTACGAGTTTTTATTAAGAAATCACAGAGCATGGAAATAGATTTCTGTTCTTTTTGAAGTTACTTAAGAAGTCTGCAATAAAAGTTAGCTGCAGCCCTATCTGGTGATAAGTAGGGTTTGCGCCCTGCCTTGTTAACTATGACTTTTCCCCAGTTCCACACAGATTATGAAACAATTAGAGAAATAGAAAATTCAAAGCAACACACTTGACTTGTGGTCAGGAATTGTTTCTGCTAGGGAGAGGTTCTCAATGCGCAATACCAGAAATCATCCCATCAGTCCATTCCAGACTGAGCACAGAGCAGAACTTGTCTGGGTCAGCACTTCCTAAGAAGAGGGAGGAGACTCTGGTGGGCATAAATAGACATCACTCTGCAGTGGGAAGAACAACACAGCAGGCAGACAGCAACCAGATCATCAGGACCAAGCTGTCACAAACTTGGGTAGCTGCCTTCAGCTCTGCAGGTAATTCCCATACATAATTCTTTCTCTCTGAGAACAGAGGAGGAGCCTTTGCAGGACTGTGTGGTACTGGGGATGTCCTGGATCTTGGGTTGGTGGAGTAAGGAGTTGATCCTTTGTCACTGGACTAGAATCAGGGAACATTTCTGGGGTGCGTAAAAATCTTTTCTTCAGTCTGGGTCTCCCTCTCTATGGAAGATGGAAGAGGAACCATTCTGCTTCTGGAGAGTGAATAGAGTCTGCTCCTTCCCACCCTCCACAGGAAGGAAGTTTTGAGACCTTGACTACCCTAGGTGCTGCTGTGGGAAGCAGAGGCAGACAGAAAATTCACATAGTCCCCATGAGGGAGGTGTGATGAAGGCGTAAATCACAAACAATCCCACACCAGTTTGGAATTTTGATTAATAAGATGGTATTTATTTAAAGGGGAAAAAACTTACAGATGACCGTACCAGACAACAGCCCTCTGTGCAATCAGGAAGAAGTCTAGTCGCTGGAAAGGGAGCCATAAGCAAAAGAGAACAAGGAGGGAAGTGGCCATTTTTTTTTTAAAGAGAGAGACCACGCCCCAATGGGCTGGTATCTCAGCGACTATTGGCTGGAGGAGCAGAAGGACCTCCTGCAACAGAGGTGGAATCACTGACATGCTTGTACCAGACAGTAAAAGTCTTGGGATCAGAAATATCACTTTCTGAGCAGATCCCATGGCCAAGAAAAAGGGCCCCACCGTCTCCTAATAAGGAAAAGACTACAGCTCATCCACTGAGCCAAGTCTATTACAAACAGACTAACCTCTTTGCTGTGGAAATAATTTTGATAAAAACATTACTGAATGCTTTTCCTGAGATATGGACGCATTCATCTGACAGTAAACACAGGGTAAAGGGAGTTAAAGTCCCTGGCCCCTCCGTAGTCAAGTGACAGGCCTGGGGACAAGTGCCTCAGCTCCAACACCTTCCTCTCCTGATCACTCCGTTCTCTTCCTATATATTTCTACTCTTCTCTTCCCCCATCTTCCTTTGTCCCCTCATATGAACCCCATTCCTACCCCTCCTATCCTCCTGCATCCTCTCCTTTCCACTGTCTCACTCCTTCCTCTTTTCCCCCTGTGTCCTCTCTCCTCTATTCTTCTCCTTCCCTTCTCACCCTCTACCAGCTACTGTCTCCTCTGATGTCCTCAGCAACCTAGACAGGGGCTAAAGGTGTGTGACTGTGATTACCATTATCATAAACCTTCAACTGCAGTTTTTTGTTTTTGTTTTCCAGGACAGGGTTTCTCTGTGGTTTTAGATCCTGTCCCAGAACTAGCTCTTATAGCCCAGGCTGGCCTTGAACTCACAGAGATCTGCTTGCCTCGGCAAGCCTAGTTCTTGGATTAAGGGTATGTGCCACCATTGCCTGGCTTCAACTATAGATTTTATGATGTTTGTGACCCCACTACAGTGATGTATGGAGGCGATGGTCCTCTGGACATTCCCTAGAAATACCCACAATGACCATAAAAAGCCATAAACTTTTACTAATATTCTAACCTGGGTCACTCAATAAGTTACCCAGAAAGATCCACCCATTTCTTGCCACCAGACCCCACCCTGAGATTCAAAATGAAATCTGGTCCAGGTAGCAGAGACTCATTCAAACATCATCCAAGTTTCGTCCCATCAGGAGGCCTTCCAAGGTGAGATAGAAACCACCATGTGGAATACTGGCAGAGCTGAAGATCTTCCTCATTCTCATCCTTCTGATGCCAGTTCTCAGGGGGCCAATGCTCTGGTGCTGCACCAGACAACTCCAGTGCTGCCCTCCATTAACCCCCACACTCCCAGATGCTTGCACTAAGTGAAACCCAGGGCTGTGAGATTTCTTATACATATCCATTAGAGTTTGGGGTACACTCTGTCTAAGATTTCTTTTTGAGTCCTAAGTAGAGGTGGTGATGAGGTAGGGGGCACAAGTGAAGAGGAAGAGGTCCCCTGCTTTCTAATGAGCCCTTAAGCCAAGCCAGAAGAGAAGACATTCAAATTACAAAAGCCTTGAGCCCAGCCCTAAGTCTTCTCTTGCTTACACTGTGACCCTGATCAATCCCTTCATCTCTCTGCATCTTGGTTCTCCATTAGTTAAACTGGTTACAGCAACAGCACTTCTTCCTGTAGTGAAAAGGAACAGAGCGTGTGGCCCTGCCATCTGAGGGGTCAGGGCACCTCCCATGATCAGTCATAAAGGCAACAAAAGGACACAGTGCAGGCCAGGTGGGAGGACTAGGAGTTGGTCAGGGAATCACGTGGCAATCCCAAATAAAAGGATCTTCTCTTTTCAACCAGGATACTAGAGTAATGGCAGGGATCTCAACTGATGTCCTCTCCAGACCAGATGGCATTTTGAGAAGAGATGCTGCAGGCCAGGAAATCCAAAACAACAGAACACCAGTAGTCAATCTATCAATGACATCCAGCAACAGTGACTTTGCCTTCAGCCTCTACAAGGAGCTGGCTTTGAAGGATCCAGATGAAAACATCGTCTTCTCCCCACTCAGCATCTCAGCTGCCTTGGCAGTCCTGTCCCTGGGAGCAAGCAACAACACTCTGCAAGAAATTCTAGAAGGTCTCAAGTTCAATCTCACAGAGACCCCTGAGGCAGACATCCACCAGGGATTTGGGAACCTTCTCCTCATGCTCAGTCAGCCAGGGGACCAGGTGCAGATCAGTACAGGCAATGCCATGTTTGTTGAAAAGCGCCTGAAGATCCTGGCAGAGTTCAAGGAGAAGGCCAGGGCGCTGTACCAGGCTGAGGCCTCAAGTGCTGACTTCCAGCAGCCTCATGAGGCCAAAAAGCTCATCAATGACTATGTGAGGAATCAGACCCAGGAGAAGATTAAAGAACTGATCTCAGACCTGGATAAAGACACAGTAATGGTGCTGGTGAACTACATCTACTTTAAAGGTGAGGATGGGCACTGTTTCATGGGTGGTTGGAGAAGGTGTTGGTTGGGCACCCTGTGTCCATACACTGAGCACCGGAAAGGAGGGGCTCATGGCCTAGAAGACATGGGTGCCTAACTTTTTTACTAACTGGCCTTACTTCCCTTCTGAGGTATTCTGGAAAATGGTTGCAGTTCCTTGTACTTACTCCACAGAAGCCCTGAGCTCTCAGTGACTCATTTTGGCTCTGACTTAAACTGATTGACTAGGAGATTGCATAACTGGGATATCCAGTTCTACCTAAGTGGGGAGAAGCCACATCATCTCCCTGCAAAGACAAGATCCCTCAATGTGTCTGCTCCAACATTTCTAATATACTTCTTAGAAGGTGGCCTTTCCTGCTGGAGAGCCACTGTCTCTATGTGGGTACGGATGTGTTGAAGAGTTCTTGTCCTAAAGAGGCTGGCTATCACAATCTTAAAGGGAAATTAGCATTGCCACAGGTGGTGAGTAGCCCTTCATGCAGGACCTCTCCCCTGATCCTCTCTGCTTTAAGCTTGACCTCATCATAGGAAGCCAGGAACTGGGCAAAGACATTAGTGAAAAGAAAACTCAGCTACGCAGTGTTCTATGTGTGGTGTATGGCTGCTTCGTGGAGTTTGATTTTGTAAGACAACTAGCCTGGCAGCCTGGGAGGTCACAGTGCCCAAAACTCACTCCTCAGCCATGGAATCAGCAGTTAGGGAGCTAGTGTTTTGGGACACTGAGCTGGGACTGCCTTGGGTAAGGGTTTAGGATGGACATCCAGAGTCCACATCCACAGATCCTGCCTGGTACAGAGCGGAGACTGAGGTGACAGCCCAGAGAACAATGATGATGAAAATCGTGGCATGACTACATCTGGGGTGGATTTGAGGCTGGACCTGTAAATTTACTAGTCCAGGGCAGAGGAGGACAGGTTCTGAGACTACAGACAGAGAAACCATTGGCCGTGATGGAAGAGGAAGGAGGACAGGAGGACAGGATGGCCCCAATGCTGCTGTGCTCTGAGGAGAGGGAAGCAGAGGAATGGCCTGAAAGATGGGTGTGGCTCCCTCTGCTGGCCCAGAACCCAAACTCCAAGGCTGCTTGGCTATGAGGTGGTTGTGCTGTATGTTTATACTGCTGGATTCTGAGCCTAAGAAACTGTCCATGCGCCAGACCCCTAGGGTGTGTTGCAGATGATCACAGGTGTTTGAGATGTGGGGCAAGTCTGGGCAAGATATCTGATTTCATGGAGGGAAACATGGCCACGCATGAGATGAAGACTCAATATCCGTGTCTTAGCCACGGACTGTGGGGTCCTGGGAATTGGACCTGAGAAACTGCAGGTCTCTAGAGCTTCAGTCTAAGCCCACACTTGGCTCTGGACTCTCCGTTCCCTTGGTGGTTCACGCCAAAGGGTGCCATGGACAGATCACAGTGTGGGAGGATTCGGTCTCTTTCGGCTTCTCTGAAAACATGTCCCACAAGCCACTGCCTTCTAGAGAGGGTCCTCCTAAGGTAGAGGGGTCCTCAACTCTCCCCAGGCTCTGGTCTCCCCACTTTTACTCTCATTTCTCTCTTACACACACAGCCTCAGATCCCAGATTGTTTCTCAGGTACATCTAGGAGCCAGGCTTTGGTTTTGAGTTCCCCTTTCCAAACCAAGTCTGTGGATCTTTTTCATTCACAGATCTGCAACTACCAAGGTCTTGTTTTTCAACATAGATAACGAAACCACCATGGGACAGTACACGCTGTGTGTTGAGATGGAATGATTGTTCTCATGACTCAGAAGCTAGGCAGAAATGGGGTGTAGGTGGGGTCTCCCCTGCTGTTACATTCTAATGGCCTGTTCCACATTTAGGAAAATGGAAGTTTCCCTTTGATCCTCGTGACACATTCGAATCTGAGTTTCACTTGGATAAGGACAGATCTGTGAAGGTGCCCATGATGAATATTAAGGCCCTGATCACACCCTACTTCCGGGATGAGAAGCTCTCCTGCACTGTGGTTGAACTGAAGTACACAGGCAATGCCAGCGCCCTGTTCATCCTCCCTGACCAGGGCAGGATGCAGCAGGTGGAAGCCAGCCTGCAACCAGAGACCCTAAGGAAGTGGAGGAACTCTCTGAGGCCCAGGTGAGTGCCCGCAGGACCCACAGCTGGCCTGAGGCTGCAATCTACAATTGGCCTGGTGCCCAGTGTCCCTATACCTCAAAACCTCTCTAATACCTGTGTAATGGTTGAATGGTCTGCAGGGATGGGTGGAGTGCCGAAAGATGTAAGGGCTGTTGTGATGGAATAGCAGGGGCAGGTGGAGAGCAGGTGAGTTTTTTCTGCAAACTGGATAGTTGAGACAAATTTTACTGTCATTTTAGTTGTTTTTAAGAGAGAATCAGCTATAGTAGGACCTAAAGATTCTTCTGTGTCTAACGGACTCTAATTACACAGAATCCTGCATGGGTGTTGGAAGGCAGAGGGAGTGAGGGTGACATGAGGTCAGCTCAGAGAATTAGCTCTGCCCTGTGCAGCCATCGCATCCCCTCATCACTCATTCATTCACCAGCATGCAATGATGACTTGAAGACCTACTATGTGCTGTGCTGTGATTTTTAGACCCTGAGAGGATATCAGAGACTCAAGAAGAAAATTTCTTATCCTCTCAAGTTTATCTTGGAATTGAAGAGCAGAGAGTAGGTGATTGAAAATGACTTGACCACTTAAAAAGTGAGAGGCAGTGAGACCAAAAGGGGAGTTTCCAAAGATAAGCACAGCTGGATTCGGGCGGAGGGTGCAGCTTTAACTAGAAGATCATTAGACGAAGTCTGAGTCCACATGACAGGGGAAGGGCTGCATTGGTGGATCTGGGAGAAAAGCATTCTTGGGAATGGAACAGCTGGTACCTAGCCACACTGACTGCCCACTGTAAACACTCTCAGGCATTAACTGTTAATTAATGCTTCAGGAAAAACAAAATAAAGACTCTCTGCATGGATGGAAAGAGGGCTTCCTTCTGGTAAAGGACTGTCCATGGAGAGATGCCTTTACAACAAGGTAGGTTGGTGGCACCAGGGATCACTGACTCTTATGTTTCTCTGTGTCATTCTTAGGAAGATCGACGAGCTCTATATGCCCAAGTTCTCCATCTCCACTGACTACAGCCTGGAGAAAATCCTTCCACAGTTGGGCATCAGGGAAGTCTTCTCCACACAGGCTGACCTGTCTGGGATCACAGGGGCCAAGAACCTGAGGGTCTCTCAGGTATACCAATAAATACTAGGTGGCTCTCCTTGGGATTGAGAATATATATGGTGAAGATGAGGTGTAGGGGGAAGGAATGATGTGTGTATAAAAAAACCTGAGATTCCCTTATGCCTTGGAGAGGCAGATTAAAACCTATAGACTCCCCCTGGATACCATGCAGCCCGTCCCTCCTCTACCCCATGAACATAATCTGATTCAGAGTCCCGGGATGGAAAAGAGCCTGTGGTTTAGGTAAGACCACCATAGTAACCACCTGGTGCTGCACTGCGGGTGCCACCCACAATCCTCTGCAGGTGCCACCCATAATCCACTGCAGGTGTCACCCACAATCCACTGCAGGTGACACCACAATCCACTGCAGGTGACACCACAATCCACTGCAGGTTCCACCAACAATCCACAAAGCACTTCCAGTCTTAACTTCTTCATTCAGAGCTGGCTCAGAACTTCCTGAATAGCACACAGAACAATAGCAGTGCAGGAAGTAGAAAGGATGAGTAGCAGTTAAGATGAAAAGCTTAAGAATAGGAGAGAAGGTGCCTTAGGACCTCACACTACCTCCCCAGATGCACAGCCTGGCAATGCTTAGTGTTCTATCCATTGTTCCCTGTAGAGCCCCAGGCTCTGATCTGTACCAGCAGGGCATGGCATTCTGGGAAAGAGAAGCCATGCCATGTGCATTGCAGCAGTTTGCCCCAAGGAGGCTGGAGCAGGAGGGATGCTGAAACCAGGATGGGCTGCCAACATCCTGGCTGTTCCTTGTGGGTCTCCTGAGATGGTGACTGTGGAGTAAGGTGGGAGTTACCTATACCCATCCTCCAGTTTGTGGTGGGTTTGAGGTCAGTACAGATTCTCAGAGACTGAGAAGACCCTGGGAGGCCTCATCTCACACCCAGAGCAGAGACTTAGAAACCTTAGGAGTAGAGCTCATGGCAGGAACAAACAAACTCACCAGTGTCTGAGGCCAGCAGTCGATTCTTGCTCCAGGAATCTCCTCTGCTGCCCTTCCTGGTCTCTAGTGAGTGATGTCTTTCTCCTACAGGTGGTCCACAAGGCTGTGCTGGATGTGGCTGAGACAGGAACAGAAGCATCGGCTGCCACGGGAGTGGTGATTAAAAGGAAAATGGTTCCAATAATGAATATGTTGAAAGTGAATTTCAACAGGCCATTCCTGATGTTTGTCTCTGAAGCAAATACTCAGATGATCCTTTTTCTGGCCAAAATCTCCAACCCCAAGTGTGGTTAGAAGTTTCCAAGGTGAGAGCCTTCTGGCCAGGTGTCCAGGAGGGAGAAGGCATGTGGGGATGTACATCCTGGATGCCATTCTCTGATTGGCTTTGTACACCTGGCTTCGACAGTTACTGTGACTAACTCCTTGGCTCTGACATGCACAGGAGTCTTAGACTTCAGTGTCTGCCTCAGGCCTCCTGGGAGCAGCTGTTCATATTCTGAACCTGGTATCTGTCTTATGCCCTCCCCCTGCTCACTGCCCTGTATGTGCCTGTACCCAAGTATGGGCACTGGCAGGCAGGCTCGGTCCCAGTGCAATCTCTAGGCACATCTGCTTTCAACTTCCAAGGCCTTGTTGGGATCATGCAAGCTCACAGGCCAATCCATGAGGATCAGGTCCAGGAGTGAGAGGGAACCTGCTGTACTGAATCTCATCCAGCATCGGGTACCACCTGGTGACAAGTTCCTGCCTTGTGCATCTTTCCTCCAGTCCCCAGGCTTTCCACCCCAGCACCCCTGCAGCAGATGCTGGCCGTGCCCTAATCCGACCAACGTTGCAGGCTTCACTCCTGTTGAAAGGCTGTTGGTCAGAAAGCCTCCTTTCCTGGTAGAACCCCTACTTACAGTAGAATACCCATTTTCTTAGTCTGCAGCTATCATCCTCACATGCCAGAGTGATACCCCCGCATTCCTTACCCTAAATGCAGGCCTTGCAACAAAGGATCAATAAACGTAGAACTGCACAGAAGGTGGCTGGTCAGTATTCACTCAGCTCCTGTTGGCAGGGTGTGGCCTCTACTGACAACACAAGGAAGTAGAGGTTTTCACTCACACTCTCTGACATGTAGGACACCTGAAACAAATGCTATTATTATTACCTTTTATGGATGACTGTTGAGATAGGGAGCTGCGGGCTGCATCCCTGGCACCTGGCCGCCCACATGGCTAGCTTATGCCCCGAAATAATTACATGGAAACTGTATTCTTTTAAACACTGTCTGGCCCATTAGTTCCAGCCTCTTATTAGCTAGCTCTTATATATTGACCTAACCCATTTCTAATAATCTGTGTAGCCCATGAGCTGGCTTACCAGGAATGATCTTAATCTGTGTCTGGCTGGAGTGGGAGAATCATGGCGACTCCTTGACTCAGCTTCTTTCTTCCAGCATTCTGTTTTGTTTACTCTGCCTACCTAATTTTATGTCCTATTAAAGGGCCAAGGCAGTCTCTTTATTTAACCAATGAAATCAACACAAAACAGCAGACTCCCACATCATTTCCCCTTTTTCTGTTTAAACAAAAAAGTTACAATATTTATATCTTTTATCATAACTAAGGAAAACTATAACTATCCATTTTCAACTCATCAAAGACTCCAGAAGGATATAATATTACATAAGCAAATAAGAAATAAACGACAGAGACATCTCGCTGCCTGGACAGTCACCCAAAGTTCCTCTGTACCGTTGGGGCAACCATCTTCAGACTTCAGGCCCATAGTATCCAGCAGACTTTTCCATGAAGCAGGAAATTTCAAAGGCAGTTCAGTCACTATCTGCTGTGTCCTGCAGAATGTCTCACAGACTCTTGCATGAGTCATGAACCCCAAAAGACCGTCTCACCTTTAGGCAAGTTCAGCAGTCCTCTCTCTGTGGGTTCTCTGTGTCCATTTTATGCAACAGTCCAGGCAAGAACAGTTCCTTGCCCAAATGGCTATCAAACTCCATAAGGATCCTCTTCGATTCCCATCTTCCTCTCGAAGTAGATTGGTGCCGCCAGGAGCAGATATATCTCATTTCATGAAAAGTCCTAAATTATTAAAATATTTTAAATGCCATATTCTGCAGCCTTTGAGAGATATGAAGAATGCCTATCTGAAATATATCTCTATATATCTAGAAAATCTAAGTAACATGACTACAAACTTGACTATTATTTATGATTATCCATCAACAACCTATATTTCCTAATTATACATTACATTTTAAAAGTGAACTACACAATCACAATACCTTAATCAAGATCAGAAATACATATACATATAACAAAATTGACCTTAAAATCCATACCAATGCCAATTATTCATACCTATATCATTTCCCCCTTTAAATGTAAAAGAACATTTATAAACAATATTTTGGGAACATGGGCGCAGTTTTTTCTCTCCAAACTGCTTCCTGCTGAAAGGGGGCGCTGTTAATCAGATCATTTAGGGTGTAACCTGTGTGCCAGACTTATCTCAGTTGGCAGTTGAGTGAAGTAATTTTTTGAGGGTATTCACAGCAATTTTTCGGGAGGTTGTAGTCTATCATACCATATCGGGATAGAATCAATCCACAGGGTCTGGTCCTCTGTGAAAACAAAAGAAGACCCTCTCCAAAGCATCATATCCTTAGACCCAAATTTTGAAATCGTAATACCCTTATATCCATTCTGGTTTAGCTTGGCAACCCATGTAATGAAATGTCTCTCTGTACTTAGCTCCTTCACAGTCAAAAATTTTAAAGAAAACGCTGTATATAATCCAGACTCTCTGTGAATTTTCCATTTTTACGTGGCTTATTTTTCTTTATTTCTTTTAATCTCTTAACTATCTGTACTCTGTCTCTTTAAAGACTTTACCCTTTTTTAAGACATTAATTTTATTCTTTATATTCTTTTTCTTCTCTCTCCCAAGCCTACATACATTTATCCAACAGTGTCTGAATCTGTTTTATCGTGAATCTGTAATTTTTTTTTTTTTTTTACTATCCAGCAGCACTTTGTTTTGAGCCTTTAAATCACTAAGCGCTTAAGAATCTAAGCTGTGACAATTCCTAGGTCAAAAACAGGTACTGCCTGCTTGCCCTGCCCAGTCCAACATGGTGGAGCTGCTTGTGACTGAATCAGTTGTGTCTCTGAGCTGCAGAGCGGAGGGCTGCTCTGAATGGTGGCTCCACCTCTCTCCAATATCAAAATGGAGAACTACCATTTTGTGCTAGCTCTGGGGCTGCCAGGTAGGAGCGGCACTCAGCACTTTAATTCTGAGACTGAGCGTGCAGCACAGAAAATCTTTTCATCCAAGTTACAGCCAAATCTGACACGCAGAGCACTGCGCAGTCTGAAAACACGTCTCTGTATGGTGGCAGGAATCCGCCATGCTCTTCTGCCTGCCTAAGCCTGATTCTGCCATCTGCCCAGGTGCAGGCGGGGATTGCTGAGCCATCAGCACCATCTCAGAGCTCAGAGCACTCTCCTTTCAATCCCAAGCGGGAACAGAAACATCCAGTCCCATAAAAGCCACTGAAATGCTTTAAAGCCAGAGTTCACACTGAAGCACAGCCCCAAGAAGCCACGCTTTAAAATGACACAGCGGTTTTTTTTTTTTTTTGCTGCTGTTGCCGAATCAGGAAATCTCTCTACAGCACGCCACCAACAAACAGCAAAAATCTGTGTTACACTCTCTCTCCCTTATTTTTAAGCCTTCTTAGGTTTTTAAGTGGATTTAGTCCATCACGTCTGGGCACCACTATGTTGTAATGGGCGCGGCGGGCTGCGTCCCTGGCACCTGGCCGCCCGCATGGCTAGCTTATGCCCCGAAATAATTACATGGAAACTGTATTCTTTTAAACACTGCCTGGCCCATTAGTTCCAGCCTCTTATTGGCTAGCTCTTACATATTGACCTAACCCATTTCTAATAATCTGTGTAGCCCATGAGCTGGCTTACCAGGAATGATCTTAACCTGCGTCTGCCTGGAGTGGGAGAATCATGGCGACTCCTTGACTCAGCTTCTTTCTCCGAGCATTCTGTTCTGTTTACTCTGCCTACCTAATTTTATGTCCTATTAAAGGGCCAAGGCAGTCTCTTTATTTAACCAATGAAATCAACACAAAACAGCAGACTCCCACAGATGACAAAATTCAGGCCCAGAGAAGTTGATTCATTTTCAGTGACCGCACAGTTAGACAATATGACTGGCAGGATGTTCTGCAAGTTTCCTGAAGCCAGAGGAACAGCCTTCCCCAAGCCGGGGTTCTGTGCCCGAGGCTTCATCATGGTGGTGGGAGTTGGATCATAAAACAAGGCTCTGGATACTTCACAGAGAGAATCCAAAAGAACCTGTGATTCAGGTGACCTCTGTGCTGAGGTCTGGAGGAGGATGAGCAGGTGATCAGATGACCAGAAATAATGCTTGGGCAGAGCACACAGCAGTGCAGGCATTTCTGAGAATCTGAGGAGGAGGAGGAGGGTATTTGGGATAACAGAGCTGAAGGGCGGTGGAGAGGAAGAAGCAATTCCAGCAACAGGATATTGGAGAGTCTGCCTCTAGGAGGATTCTGAGATTACTCAGAACCACAGAGAGCACTGGAGGGGTTAATCAGTCTTTCCTGTCTTAGGAGAGTTAGTCGCTGTGGTTACAATGCAGAGGACTGAGTTGTGCAGACTGGGGATCATCATTGAGGGCATTTTCAGGGAACAGTGGAGAGAGAGTTGATGACTCAGTTCAAGAGATGAGCTTGCTTGCTGTGTAGATGGAGGTGGAGAGGAGGTTGGGGCACCTGGAACTTACAGAGAATCCTCTGAGTCCAGGAAAATAGCTGCAGCCTGCATGGAGAGGGAAAGATGAGCATTCATTTAGAGACTTGTTTGTGTCTTGAGGCTCCTGAGGATTCTCTTGAGCAGGTGGACATGACATCAGCAGGGAACTGCAGTCTGGTGGTCACCTAAAGGATTCCCTAATCCCTTCAGTACTGAGATTCCCTGGAGGCCATGAGGTGAGGGTACAGGGGACGCGTCTATTGAAAGCAAACAAGTGTCCCAGCAATCTCTCCAGCATGTGTCAGGAAAGGTCCTTAGCCCGGGACACCTCCAACACTTGTGTGCACTGTCATGCCCCAGTTCCATCCCACCATCTTTCCTGGACTCAGGCCAGGTATATAAGGAACCTGGTGCTGAATGCATCTCAAGATGACCTGACCTGTGTCTGGAACTTGTGCAAAATGTCTGAGTTTACCTCTTACAAAGTTCTAGATTTCCCAAGGTTCACTTTTCCTTATTCCTTGGGGCTGAGGATTCCCCTGCCTCTTGGTGATCAAATGTCACCTTGGAGATGAACCCCTACAGGGCAGGCCCAATGTACAATGGAGGTAAAGACTGTGGAGGGGAAAGTGAGGTGCCTGGAAACTGCAGTTTACTGAGGTTAAACTCCTGGAAACTCCATGCATGGCTCATGATTTGTACATGCTGTGCGTTCAGTTTATAGGAATTTATCCATGCTGAGTGGCTATTGTGGCATCAAAACCCCTATACTGGCAGTTGTGATGAAAAAAAAAACTTAAGAAAAGGTGAGAAGATGACTTAGGTCTTCACACTACATTCCCAGATACACAGCCTGGCAATGTCTAGTTTTCTGTCCAGTGCCTACTCTGATCTGTACCAGCAGGACAGGGCAGTATGAGAAAGAGAAGTCATGCCATGTGTATTGCTATTGTATGTCCTAAGGAGACTGGAGCAGAGGGGGGCTGAAGTCTGCACTGACTGCCAATGCATTATATCTGTGTGTCCCAAGGAGGCAGGAGCAGGAGGGATGCTGAAACCTGCACTAGCTGCCCGGTGTGTCACCTGAGAAGTTGCGTGTGGAGCAAGAACTGGCAGTGCCTATACCCATCCTGCAGTGATTACTAGGTTTCAGGGACATGCATCATCTCAAAACTGGGCAGAGACTTGGAAAGCACAGAGGTAGTGCTCATGGGATGAACAAATAGTTCACCAGTGTCTGAGGCCAGCAGTTGATTCTTGCTCCAGGAATCTCCTCTGCTGCCCTTCCTGGGGTCCAGTGAGTGATGCCTTTCTCCTACAGGAGGTCCGCAAGGCTGTGCTGGTCGTGGTTGAGAGAGAGGCACAGAAGCAGCTGCAGGCCCCAGAATCCAGATTGGGCCAGAGTCTCTAATTATGAATCCTTTGAAAGTGAATTTCAACAGGCCATTCCTGATTATTATCTCTGAAACAAATACCCAGATTTCACTCTTTATGGCCAAAGTCACAAATCCCAAGGAAAACTAGAACTTCCCAAGTGATGAGGCTTCCTCCTGGGAGCCAGGGACTGAGTCTGAACATGGGTCTCTATATGCATTTTGGCCTCCATTCTCTGATTGGCTGTGTGTGCCTGAGTGGAGAGTGACAGTGACTAACTGTATGACTCCACCATGCACAGGGCCTGTGGACAGACAGTGTCAGACTCCCCATAATCTTGGGTGCACTAGCTTATGTTTCTGAGACTGAACTCTGACTCTGTGGCCCCTCCCTGCTGAATCTCATGCCTGCTTTTTTGCCTGCTTCCTCTCGCTCTCACTGGCAAGTCTACTCCTTCATTGGCATCTGAGCTACTTCTTCAAGATTCCAGCACACAATGAAGGCCAGGTGAGACTTCTAGGCTTGAGAATAAACAACTACTTGATTCCTGACTCTTCCATTGGGAGACAGCTATTTGGACTAATTGGACCTGGGCTTTTAAATCTTTCCAATAAATTCCCTTTAGTAGAGATTTGTCCTGTAACATTCGTTTTTATAGTGAATCCTAATAATGATACGTAGTGTTCAGACCCAGCTCATAGCTGCATGAGATGTCTTTAGCACCAGGTGCCTTAGATTCTGGGTCTGAACTATGACAGATGGAGGGACGCAGCTGCGGCATGCCAGTGCTCATGGAACACATGAGGTGGTGACCTCAGGGACTTGATTGGACATAGTGAAATTGTTGGGACACAGCTGCTTCCAATACATGGGTCTTCACTTTCTCGCTCGATGGCCCCCATGGGTGGTGTCTCAGTGCTCAATGGGGAAGGGAGTCTTGTGTGAGAAACCCAGGCTGTAATTGTCTGCAATCACATGTCCTCCTGTTCAGTGTTTGTCTCCTGGGCCTCGAGACTCAGGCATGTCTCAAATTGAACATACAAATTTCCCTCTCTGTACAGGCCTCCAGCTGTCTTTCAGGGCTGATGGAAGCTCAGCGGACACTCAGCACCATAACTCAAATGAATCTTGGCCTCTTCTTATACTCTATCTAGGCACGAAACCATCTCATCCTTGAGCTGAAATCACCCAATTTCCTCTCCTGATGTGAGCTCCTGATCCCTGCAGCTGCCCTCAGTGTCGGTCCCCACATTTGTCCATAATGGTTTGAGGATCCCAGGACAGGAACAGTGATTCACCCCTCCAGAGCTCCCTGTCATTCTGAATCATTTGAGGATTCTCCGAGGGACAAGCTCTTGGTCATCTGGTGATTTTTGTTTTCTTTCCTAAACACCCAATTATTCTTAGAAATACCTCCCATGCAGTGTTTCCTGCCAAAAGCATTTTTCTGGTCATCTGACCACCTTCTCATCCTTCTCTGACCTCAACACTGAGGTCACATGATCCTTAGACTCATTTGGGTGTTCTCTGAGAAGCATCCATTGCCTTGTTAAATGTTCCACCTGCCCACCACCACGTTGATGTCTTGGCCTATGTATATCAGCTTGGAGCAGACTGTTCCTCTGGCATCAGTGCTCTTGGAAGAACATCCCACCTGTCATAATGCTGAGCTGTGATGTTATGGGAAAATGACTAAACTTCTTGGTGCCTCAGTTTCCTCATCCATAAAAGGGACAGATATTACTATGTAGGTCAGAGGTTCATCACACAAGTCACACAATGTGAGTGACAATCTCTCCCACCCTCTTGTCATCGGAGGCCACACCCCTGCCAATAGGAGCTGAGTGAACACTGCCTGATCACTTTCCATGCAGATAGATGTTTATTGATCATTTGCTCCAACGGCTGCATTTTGGATAAAGAAGGAGGTGGTGTCCATCTGCAGTGTGAGGTTGGTCAGTGGGGAACCTAGAAACGGCTCCTCTGCCCTAAGTAGGTACACTAGGGGGAAAGGAGCTGAGCTGCCAAACTGACTCCATGCAGCTGTGGGATTAGGTGCTGTAACATAGTGACAGATGTGGGCAGGGCCAGGAGCCCCTGACGGGACAGTGGGTGGCAGAGCCTGGAAGAAGATAAATGTGAAGTTGGACTTGGTACCAAGTGTTCCCAGATACTGGAAATAGACTCAGGGCAGCAGGTTCTGTTCTCAGTCCAGGGCCTGAGGTCAACATGGTTGACCTCTAAGTGTGCGTAGTCCCATGAAGGCTGACGAACATGAAGGCAGACATAACCAGAGCCTAGATAGGAACTGAGTCTACCTGCCAGGGCCCAAGCTTTGGGCAGAGGCACACAGAGGAGAGGCAGCAGGGAGGGCCACAAAGACAGATTTCAGTCTCAGGAACATAAGCTAGTGCTGCTGAGAGGACGGGAACCTGACACTGTCTGTCCACAGGACCCTGTGCATGTGTGAGTCATACAGTTAGTCACTGACACTGTCCAATCCAGGCACACCACAGCCAATCAGACCATGGAGGACAAAATGCACATAGAGACCCACATACAGGCTCAATCCCTCGCTTCCAGAATGAAGCCTCACCACTTGGGAAGTTCTAGTTTTCCTTGGGATTTGTGACTTAGGCCATAAAGAGTGAAGTCTGGGTGTTTGTGTCTGAAATAATCATCAGGAATGGCCTGTTGAAATTCACATTCAAATGATTCATAATTTGAGACACTCCCACAATCCCGATTCCCGTGGCAGCCGCTGCTTCTGTGCCTGTCTCAGTCACGTCCAGCACAGCCTTGTGGACCACCTGTAGGAGAAAGACATCACTCACTGGAGACCCTGGAGGGCAGGAAAGGAGATTCCTGGAGCAAGCATTGACTGCTGGCCTCAGACACTGGTGAGCTTGTTTGTTCCTGCCATGAGGTCTACCCCTGGGGTTTCCAAGTCTCTGCGCAAGGTGTGAGATGAGGCACACCCTGGGAATGCTCAGTCTCTGAGAAGCTGTGTTGTCCAAAACCCAGTACTATGTGGAGAATGGGAGTAGGCAGTGTCAGTTTTTATTCCACAGGCAGCTTCTCAGGAGACCCACAGGGAACAGCGAGACACTGGCAGTCAGTGCAGGCTTCAGTCCCCCTCATGCTCCAGTCTCCTTAGGACATACAATAGCAATGCATTTGGCGAGGCTTCTCTTTCCCAGATGGCCATGCCCTGCTCTACAGATTTCCACCCAGCACTCAAGAGCAGTCAATGGGCAGAACACTAGGCATTGCCAGGCTGTGCATCTGGGAATGTAGTGTGAGGTCTTAAGGCGTCTTCTCCCCTATTTTTAAGTTTTCTGTAACAACTGCCACTCAACACTTGCTGTTTCCTTCATTGCGGCTATTTTCTGTGCTAGTCAAGAAGTAGCAGGCCAGCTCTGCAGTAAAGAAGCTGAGGCTGGCAGTGATCTGCACTACAGTGGATCGTCGGAGGCATCTGCACTACAGCATGCGCTGGGACCAGTGATGGTCAAAGACCAAGCAAAGGTTCTTCCCTGCCCTAGGCTCCTGAGTGATGTTTTTTTTTTGTGTGTGTGTGGGGGGGGAATAGAGGAAAGACTGGCTGCATGGTATCCAGCAGGAGTATCTAAGTTGTAATCATCTCTCCGAGGATGAAGGAATCTCTTAAATTTAGGCTTTCTCAGACATTTGCCATCTCCCACACACCTGGCCCTCTCCATCCACATTCAGGCACCAAAGAGAACAATCCAGTGTCTCTTGGCTTACCTGAGAGATTTTCAGGTTCTTGTCTTCTGTGATTTCAGACAGGTCAGCCCGCATAGAGAAGACTTTCTTGATGCCCAGCTGTGGAAGGATGTCCTCAAGTTTGTAGTCAGTGGAGATGGAGAACTTGGGAAGGGTCAGCTGGTGAATTCTCCTGAGAATGGAAAGAGAAATGTAAGAGTCACTGAACTCTGTGTTCCCCTCAAGCCACACTGTAACTGGGGCAGCTCACCACAGACGGCCCTCTCACTGGAGAGAAGCCCTCATCCCATCCTTGTCTACATCCCATGATTTTGTTTTTCTATTGTGTTAATTACCCTTGAGTGCTGGAGAGGCAATGGGACTTGGTACCAGCTGTTCCCTCACTGAATATGCTTTGCTCCCAGATCCACAAAATGCGGTCCTTCCCCTGTCGTGTGGACTCAGACGGCATTTAATGATCCACCTATTTAAAAATCACACCCACCTGACTCTAGATTTCCCTGCCCTTAAACATCCCCTTCTTAATGTCACGACTTGTCACCTTCTAACAAATTGAATCTCGACTGGATGATTTCCACATCCCCACTCTCTCATTCTCAATTACAAGGTGAGTATACAAGACTAAGAAACTTAGTGCTTTAGTCTCTGATATAAATCTGGGTATAAATCAGAGCAGAGCACACAGGAGGTCTTCCCATCATCATTCCATCATTCTGTGATGGTGAATGAAAGAGTGATGAGGGGATGCGATGGCTGCACAGGGCAGAGCTGATTCTCAGAGCTGATCTCCTCTCACCCACACTCCCTCTGCCCTCCCACACCCGTGCAGGATTCCGTGTAATTACAGCCAGGTAAACACATAGGATAATCAGTGCCTGCTCTAGCTGATGTCATCTTGTGAGCAACAAAAGAATGACATTAAAATCAGGCCCCAAACTATCAAGTCAGCAGAGAAAAATTTGCCTCCTCTCCACCTGTCTCTGCTGACTCTCTAATCCTCATACTGGGTGCTAGTGAGACTCTGAGGTTCAGGGACACTGGGCCTCAGGCCATAGCGGGATGCAGAGCCAGGCCAGCTCTGGTTCCAGTGGAACGCTCCTGGGCGTAAGAGAGTCCCTCCACTTCCTCAGGGTCTCTGGCTGCAGGCTGGCTTCCACCTGCTGCATCCTGCCTTGGTCAGGGAGGATGAACAGGGCGCTGGCATTGCCTGTGTACTTCAGCTCCACCACAGTGCAGGACGCTCCTCATCCCGGAAGTAGGGTGTGGTCAGAAACCTTAGTTTCATCATGGGCACCTCCACAGTCGTCTCGTTGTCCAAGTAGAAGTCAGTCTCAAATGTGATATTCAGGTCAAAGGGCATCCTCCATTTCCCTAAATGTGGAGCAGATCAATTGTAACATCAG